GAACCCTCACTCCGCGCAAGGGGGATGATCGCACCACGTTGTGTTGAAATGGTCAAGCACCCTCGAGGCAGTTACACAGAGCTTACAACTGTCTCTGGAAGTGAAAGCACCAGTAAATAAATTAATTCAAACGCAGCTGTCATCCGTACGCAAGGAAGTAAGCACAAGATGCCGAACACCCTTGGCAGGATGCAGCGCACCCTTCATGCGACCCGCCGAATATCTCACGGCGCTTCGCGCTTGGTGATGTGAGAGCCTGGTCCGGTGAGAACCCGGCGTGCTCCGTGCCGGCTTTGTAGGGATGCGAGGTCAATGGTCTAACGACTACGGCATGCACGACTATGAGTACCCCCCCCCCCCGCGCCCCCTCATCCCCGTCACAGCACAAAGAGTCCGAACAAGCCTGCGTGGAGACCGTTCGGGCTCTCGGGCCGGAGGGGCTCGACAGGTCCGGGCTCTCCCGCGCTAGCATAACGCTACGGTTCCCTCGAAACCCGGTGATCGGGGACAAGTTTTCGTCGCGGCACGGGCAGAAGGGCGTCATGTCTATCCTGTGGCCGGCGGAGGACATGCCCTTCACGGAGTCGGGGCTGTCGCCCGACGTGATCATCAACCCGCACGCCTTCCCATCGCGGATGGTGCGTGCGTGTGCGTGTGGGCCAGAAACGTTTGTTGTTAAAGCGAGCCGTGATGGCACTTAGTCCGGGGGTCGGGGGATTGTGGTGGTGCATGTTTCGCAGGGTGGCGTGTCTGTGTTGGGAAAGGTGGCTGTCTGCGCCGGACGCGTTGTTTCGCTCTAAGATGGTGGTCGATGAATCGGGCTGGCTCGAGGAGTTTTGCTAGTGGTGGTGGAATCGATCGTGTTTTTTTGCGTTCTGTACGTGTTGATGCCCTTGTGGTGAATGAAGGTGGTAGTAAAGTGGTGTGGTGAATTGATGTACGACCGACTGCTCTGTTGTACACGGATGACGAAACACTGTGGCTGCTTTCGGTGCCGTTGCTGCTGTCGCCAACTTGGTGTGTTTACAGACTATCGGGATGCTTATCGAGTCCATGGCCGGCAAGAGCGGTGCCATGCACGGCACCTATCAGGTATGTTGGCACGTTAGGACTGCTGATCGCCTACTCTGCATCTGTGCATTATATTCCCTTAATAAAAAGCATGTACAGTAGCTGTCCCGAGATAGTGCCGGTTGAATAGTGCCAAGTTCCGATATAGTGCCGGTAAATTTTCTTGACACCGACATAGGCCTGAGTAGTGCCAAATCGGCACTATTGAGGGATGTCCGCTACAGTGCCGGTTCAGGCACCATCGAACCCCTCAATAGTGCCGGTTCACACCCCACACACGGCCTTTTTTCGCCTCAAGCCTTCCACGCCAACAGGATTCGGAGAAGTTTTCCCTTCGAGCTACAAGTATAGCTCGGTTTATCTCGGTACGCGTGACGTATTCAAATGTCACGATTTACCGGTCGACTAGGTTCCGCAAATAGGCTGCGATTTCAGTAGGGAGGCGAGCGAACAGCAAGATGGTGGTAGTGACGAAGGGTGGATATGGAAAATATAGCCAAGGATAGCAGTGATGATGCAGGAGGAAAGTATGGCGTTGAGGGGAATAACAAGAGTTTCGAGCGAGATGACCTTCCTCACAATAAAGGCCGCAGGGGCGCAGACTCTAGAGATGAAAGCCCGAAAAATAGTGGAAAAGTATTAATAGTGAAGAGCGTAGTAGTGGTGGTGAATAAAAAAAAAAAACTTCTAAGGAAGGATGAAAACACTCCGAACAAACGCGTGTTCAACAGTAGTGGTAAGCCTCGGCAGTCACTTCGTTCTCCTCCCTCGGTTGCTACCATTCCTATCATTTATTCAGAGAATAGCTCAGGCTCCTTCATGACACCCTCCCACTTCCTTGAGGAACAACTATTTTCTGTTTCTGACCGCACTGAGACTGACGACGTCTTTTCGTTGGCCAGTCGTTTTTCTTGGTTCTGAACGCTTGGTCTTCTCTCTAGTTTTTTATCGAAGGAACAGGGGAGCTCGTTATCTTCTTCACCACTTTTTTTGGTTTCATCTGCTTTTTTTTGTGTGCTCATGTAAGGAGCACTACATCCATGTTTTACCTCCAAATGTACATCGGGTGCATGCATGAGCGTCTTTCTTTCGCTGTCCGGGGTGCCTTTGAGGTTGCCTGAAGAATAATAGCAACAAATCTACCTGGTCAATCAAGTTAATTTTAATGTGACCAATGATGTGTTTTCGACAGTCCAAGAGCCTCACGAAACTTAATGAAGCCCGCCCACGTCGGCCACCTCACGATTGATCCAAATACCGTTCGTTTGGTACTCTGTCAGCCCCGCAAAGTGCAACCGCTGCACTCTGAAGTCGATCAGTCCTGAATAGTGCCAAGCCGGCGCTATAGAGGGATTTTCGGGGCCTGAATAGTGCCGGTTTGGCACTATTCAGGCACAATTCTGAATGGTGCCGGTGCCCGGTATAGTGCCGGTCAAATCGCCTAGACACACACCGGCACTATATCGGGACACCTTCTGTACAAACAAAACAGTGGGACCGAACTCCTTTCCTCCTTTCGGATCACTCCCTACACCAGCGCTTGCCGTGCAGTCTAAAAACCGCTGCCTACACTGATCCCCCTGTTGCCCCCCCCTCGGGCATTTTTCGTTTGTATTCCGCGATGGACCACGGAACATAAACACGCGTGCGCCAACAGGACGCTACTCCGTTCGCTTTCCATGAGGAAGATCGGGTCATCGACCACTTCGGCGAGCAGCTGCGCTCCGCAGGGTGAGTGCCTTGGCACCTCTTGTGGTTCGGACACGGTTGGTCGTGTTTTTGGGTGTGTCGAGGGGTCTCTTTGCTTTGCCTTTGGGTGTAGAGTGTTACATTCTTCTCGTGCGAACGACCTTGTTCTTTATTTCTGATAAGCATGGCAATATTCGCGTGTTGTTTGTTTTTGTGTGTACGAAACTGGTGATTCCGCCGTCCTATTTTCCGTTGCCTGCAGGCTTGCAAGCAGCAGAGAGGCGTATTCCCTCGTCCTCTCGAGGAGTCTTCGAAAAAACGAGGCCGCCTTTGTGGAACGCATGTGTTGGATGTCACTGAACACGTTGGCTCTCTTTTCGCCTGTCGTTTCGGGCTTCGAAGAGAATTACCGTGGCATGCGGGAAAAACTTTTGCTGGTTGCTGTGCAGAAGAAGAGTACGCCGGCGCTTGCCGTTTTGGGGTTTCGTATAGAACTACCGGGGGCATGCAGGGAAAGAGCAGGTACACCTACGCTTTGTGGTTTTAGGGTTCCGCGTAGAACTTGTATTCATGCGTGGGAAAGAAAGCGCTTGCCGTTAAAGGTTTCGTATCGACCTGATCGCCGTGGGATACTGGAGATGATGGAGATAATTCTTTTTTTTTATGGAATACAACAGGTACGCCTACCACGGGTCGGAGCCCCTGTACAGCGGGGTTACAGGGACGGTGATGCACGCTGACATCTTCATCGGACTGGTGTACTACCAGCGCTTGCGACACATGGTGTCGGACAAGTCCCAGGTATGCATGACGACGCACGGTTATGGCGGTACGGCTGACGGGTTGCAATGCGGGACAAGGGTGCTTGTTCAAGTATATTGAGTCTTGTTTGCCCGGTTTGTTGTTGGTCGCTTTTGGTTGCGTGTTTGGTTTCCCACTTGCCGGAGCGGTGCGACCGTGTGTGGACCTGTTGAGCTAGCGGAGAAGGGGGGCAGTGAGTGTGTGATCCGCATCACCATTCGTTCGTGGATGATGAGTCAAGGATGCGGCGCGTCCGTCGCTCCTGGGATTAAAAGGCGGCCATCGGGCTCCAATGATAGTGTCGGGCACCGCCAACTAGAAAACCACACCAAGTTTTCAGTAGCTGCTCTGTGTCGCCGATGTCCAATTCGCGATGACGTCACTTCTCTCCGTCGTGTCTTACCCTATGGTGGAGAGACCTATGTTAGTGGGCAAAACATGTGGCTCCTTGTAGGTATGTGTGTAGCGAAATCGATTTCGTTCCGTACCGAGGGGCTGCTCTGTCGATTTGGTGACGGCAGCTGTCTCTCGAGCGGGCGCAGATTACCGAACCATCACGCCTACCAGCACTGAAACACCGACATCTAGCGTTACACTCCGAAATCCATTCTCATACACCAACACCAACGTCTGTATCAAAACCAACGACCACCTTCCCAACACCCCTCTATGCACCATCAGGTACGAGCCACGGGCCCCGTGAACCAGCTCACGCGGCAGCCCATCAAGGGCCGGAAGAACAAGGGCGGCGTCCGGCTGGGGGAGATGGAGCGCGACGCCCTCCTGAGCCACGGCGCCGCCTTCCTCCTCCACGACCGCCTGATGAACTGCTCCGACCGCCACATCGCTCACGTTTGCTCCACGTGCGGCTCCCTCCTGTCGACCTCTGCCCGCCGAGGGGCCGTGGCGACGGCCGGGCAGAGCGCGGCGGCGGCGGCGGCGGGGGCAAGGGAGGCAGGGGGCGGGGGAGAGGGCAACGGCGGGGGGGGGATCCGCTGTATCACGTGTCCGGCTAGCGGTGGGAAGGGGGGGGGCAAGGTCGTTGCCGTGGCGATGCCGTACGTGTTTAGGTACCTCGCGAACGAGCTCGCGGGGATGGGTATCAAGCTCACCCTCAAGACGAGCTGAGCTTGGGCGCGGGCGGCGGGGGGGGGGTGAAGGGTCCCTCTGCCGCGGCCCTTGTTTCAATAGCACTATAATAGGGCACCTCTTGTGTGTATATAATTAGACCTTTTGAGTGTTTTTGCGAGGCTCGAAGTGAGTACAGTACATGTAGTCGGACCACGAAGCGCGGGGGGGTGGTTTCAGGCTCTATTTAGCCTTCGATTCTTGTTGTTGTGAACGGACGCCATTCTCGTAATCCGCTAGTCGCAGAGGTCGTGAGTTCGAATCCCCATGGGGTGAAAAAATTACGAGATTTGCGGGTGAAAGCGAAATATAGCTAAAAAGCTCTCGTGAGTACCAAACTTTGACGTTAGCACCGTTGACGAGGGAAAGGGACGGCTGGACCCTTCTCGCGATAAAAATAAAATTCAGCACGCACCGCAGGAGGAAGGTGGGGCATGAAAAGAAATAAAAAGAAGAAAAAAGCCCTGGTGTTTACCCCCTCCTGTGTGACCCTGGATGGTTGTAGTTGTACGAAAAAATACACTGAAAAAGCTTAGTACTCTACATACGCTGAAAAGTGTAGTACACGTCTCACCACGAAAAATGGGGGGACTGTCGCCATATTAAATAGGACGAAAACACACATGTACGGAACACGTGAGTCGGATTTCATAATGGTGAGCGACGACCACGACGACGACGGATGACCGCCTGTCCATGGTAAGCACCGACCGCGAGTGTGTGTTGTTTCTTGTCTTCTGTGGCATGGATGGTCGTGTCTCGGTTGACATGAACCGAGGCATGTGCTTGATGATCGGGACCGTGGTACTGTAGGACCTCGTTTTGCCGTCGTGTGGCAGAGGCATGGGGTAGCACAGCAGCAGGGCGCTCCGTCCGGTCGCACGGCGTTTTGACGGAGAAAATGCCTACTTTGCAACTAACTGCTGTGTCCCTCTACAGACGGAGGGGAAGAACTGCACCAGCAGCACAAATTGTTTGTTACCAGCAAAGCGGCCACAGTCCTACTCATGTGAGAAACGCGAACAGGTGTCATGCAAGCGTCACGCGAGTTGGTGCTGCGAGGGGAAACAAAAGTCAGTATTTCAGCGAAGCAACTCAAGGAAAACTTCGGTACGGGGGCAAGTCACTCCTTTTATCTAACGGTGCCGTTCCAAGCGTTCACATGAAAATGGACACATCGTATTTTTCGGCGACGCGAACATAATATTGCATTACAGGAAAAAGGCGGCGCTCTGTCGCGCTCGTTTTGGGTGTAAGAGCGAGAGACTTCCTCCCCGCCTCGCACATTTACTATTACCCTCTTGCCATTGCAGTCCCTTGACGCTCAAGGTCATGCTCCGCGCACCTAACGGTACCCTCGAATTTTTCAGTGTTGGCGCCCTCAAATTTATCTCCACCGAATAAAACAGTGTTTGTTTGACGCCCCCGTCCTTATCCCAGAGCGAAGACTCCCCCCCTCCTTGCGCTTGGGTCGTCAACGCGAGAAAGGTGTTGATGTGTATCGTTTTCTTCCCTCTCTAAATATATTGTATATGTTCTAAACGCCTTTCACATCGTTTCTTCACGCCAGAGAAGTTCGAGCCCACAACTTCGAATCCGCAGGATTTACGTGGTTGCCAACTGGACCGCTCAGTAACGGCCACGGCTATTGTTGTATGACGCCGAGCACATGTTTCGCAATTTATCGCAGTAAATTTCGTTTTGGTGTATCGCTAGGGATAGACTAGTACCAACTACGGCGCAACACAGAACCACAAACACAAACACCGCTTCGTCAGAGCTTTGCTTCCACGGCCTCGGACGATGTAAACAAGCCACGCCACGGCTACGATTTCTCAAGCCGACACGCGAAGGGACCTTGTTGGAGAATTCCACAACTCAGTAGTCTTTCAGACTCTGGCGGAACGTAACCGTGCGACTTGTTTATTTCCACTCCGATCCCACGTCAATCTATGACGCCC